AAAATACGGTAATTAGGTTTCTGTACTTATTTTTTCTGCAATATTCAAGGTAATAATCTCAATTTGTCAAAAAAAACATAAAGGCGAAAATCTCAAAGAATTTTTTTTTTTAAATGTGTATAATTTCAGGCTGTTAAAGCGAGGCTGAATTTACCTGGGATCAATTAAGAGACAGATGTTTTGTTTTAAGTGATAGATGGAGATTTACAAGGATGGTTCCAAGGTTTTCACCCATTTTTCAAATTCCCTAATTCTGCAGTGAGGATAACACTTGGGAGCCAGAGGAAAACTTGGACTGTCCAGATCTGATAGCAGAATATCTACAGAAACAAAAATCGGCCCACGAGGGAAAGAGGAAAGCAGCCGGAGACTCCGAGGGCGATGAGAGCAAATCGAAGAAGAAAAAGGACGATGTAAGTTCAACCAGTAAAAAAAAAAAGATAAACAGAGTTCTTTTTTTTCCTTTTATTAAAACCAAAAATTAAAAATTGCAGATTGTGGAAAGTGGGTAACCTGTTAAGTCAGATCAATGCGTATCACTCAGGTTTAGTTCTTACACGTTAATAACCCGGGACTGCTCCCATCAAATTTGTTCAGGGGAACGAGAGATGTTTAGAAGAGTATACCTCCTTAATCCATAATAATTGGGTGATGCTTTTTGGGTTGAATTCCAATGATTTAAGCTCAAGATGAGCACCATGGATTCTCATGCTCTTGTTAACAAATACAGTGAGAATTCAGCTTATAGGGGAAGGTTAAATATCAGGAACCTGGTTGTAAAATGAACCAGACGGTGAACTGTGTTATGTATCTAGACATGCTTTCCCCCCCATCTTTACTTCATTGTTTCGTCCCTTTCTACTCCCTTTTTCTACCCTCATACAAACCTTTACCTAAACACAGCTGATCGATTTTTGTTTAAATACCATATTTTTTGCGACTATAAGGTGCATATAAACGTCTTTTTTTTCCCCCTCCAAATGGGCGGCGCGCCCTATGTGTGTTGTTACTGAGGACGTTGTTGAGACCGCCATGAGAACGTTAAAGGGGGAAGTGTGGGCGTGGATTGTGTATAAAAGAACAGGTATGTGCTTTATGCAGAACTCCTTATGATGAAAGAGTGGCTGAGGGAGGTGAATGTAAGGAGACCAGGTGGTTTTTTCCTCC